CACACACACACACACACACACACACACACACACACACACACACCCTCCTCGTAAAAGTCTTTCAAGAAGGGGAGGATGTGTGTTTCAGGTAATTCTGTAGCACTCCAAACCTTGATGAACTTGTGACAGAGTATGTGACTGTACAGAGACACACATTGTAATGTGCATTCAGATTTCAAAGGAATCCGAATCAGCCTGACTAATTTGATGTTTGTTTTACTTAGGGTAAATTTTCAAAAGCACTTAACCTAAGTCCTATTTTCAAAGGTGACTTAGGCACTTACAAGCCTAAGTCACATTGACTGTCAACAAGACTTAGGCTTCTAAGAATCAGATTTTTGAAGGTATTTAGGCACCTAAAGATGTAAATAGGTGCTTCGTGGAATGTTCAAATGCGCCAAGGTGTCTACAGCCCATTGAAATCACTGGGAAATCAATGGGACCTAAGCACTTTTGAAAACCCCATTAGGCGCTTTAAAAATCTGGCTCTAAATCACTTTTGAAAATGAGACTTAAGCTAATAAGTCATTTAGTCGCTTCTGAAAATTTTACCCTTGAGGTTTATTTTATTTTATTTTATTTTTGCCGCCAAAGGTCTTTTAGCAGGGCAAAAGAACATGAGACATGGTCCTCTTGCTGTATTTCCACCATCCACTGACTAAACACCATGAGAAGATCAGCTCTTTCATTATTTTGGTCCTATAAATTGCTGCGTGGTTCTCAAGCTACAAAAAAGTCAGTGAAAAATGTAAACACAAACACAAGCAACACAAATGCTACACCTCCTACACATGCAAGCGCACGCTTCACTGCAGGCGGAGAAAAGAGATTAAAGGCACTTTGTCTAAACTGTTTTTTATTCAAATTGCCAAAAATCAGATTAGTGAAGGGCTCTCCTGAGAGGAATTTCGAGGCATCTGAACTGTTAGGTGTCAGATCCCAGAATCTCTGATTGTTTTGTTTTTAGCAGTGGTAGCAATTGTAGCTGCAGGTGGTAGTATCTGTATTTCCACAAGCCACCGCCTTCCTGACACTAGTTCTGTATTTCAAGGTCTCTGCTGAAATCCTCCAATAGAAATGTATACTTCCTTTGGAATTACTGCTCTGTGTGTGCGTGTGAGAGAGAGAGCGAGAGAGAGAATTGAAAGGGGGAAGCAGGAGAGGAAAGACTCTTTTTCCCAAGTGTTCTGCTTAGACTTTTTCTTTCTTTCTTTCTTTCTTTCTTTCTTTCTTTTTCTTTTATTGGCCATCAGTGCAATGACCCACTTAACCACATCATCTCAGCTTGCTCCCTCCCCCACACTTCCTTTACCCTTGCAGTGCACAGGCTCTCATATTTCCTCCCTCGTGTAGGGCGGATGGAGGCTCTCTGAGCTACATTCCTTCTATTACAAAAGAAAGGGGAAAATTTCTCTTCATGCAGGCAGATGGTCGACTGTTTCCTGGCAGCTCCAGTTCAATATCCTTTTTCTATTGTCTTGACAAACCTACAAACACAGCAGCTTTCCCCCTTTAAAAATAAATAAATTCAAGTCCTTTCTGCAGAGCAATCTGTTTGGGCTTCTTCCAAATAAGGATGATGGGTGACCCTCTGGTGGCTGATATCCTGGCTGGTTATCTCCTGGCGCTGGTCTCCTTTTAAGAAAGTTGAATTATGGGGTGCAGCACATATTGTTCCCTGCTCGGGAAACACCATCTTTCTTAATTCTGCTCCGTGGATGTGTGAGAGCTGACACTTTGGAGACTGAACCAGAGATCTCTGGAGCTAAACTAATGGGCTGTTACGGCTTGAGCTAAAGAGATACGCTTCTGTAGTTGGTGGCTGTCATAGTCCAGCCTCCTATCCTCTGTGAATTGGCACAGTGGGGTACCTGTAACACAGTCTCATTAATGGGTTACAGATGGTGCCCAGATCCAAGGGTGATGAGCACCTCACAAGGGTGTTTATTAAATTTTGCTAGGAAGGGGAATGATTCAATGCTCAGTGCACTGCAGGGTAAAGACAGCAGCAGGAGAAGTTAGGTGAGGTTGGGGTTGTCTTCACTTTTCCACCACTTACTCCCTGGTGATAATTTATTTTTATCACTTTGGAGAGGAGTTGGCATCCTCCACTTTTTTGTTTCTTTATTTCCCTTCTTTATTGAGGACAATCTGTCCTTCTAGCCAGGGAGTTCTTTGTGGGGTCATTCGTCAACAAACTTGACCTAGCCAGAAGGGGTCACTCAAGGTCCCATCTGTACTGGAATCAGGCTCAAGTCATGCCACAGTGCTCCGGAACACTGTGGTGCTATCACTTATGAGTGATGGTTCCAGAAGCACATTCCAGCACTTCTTTTTTTTTTTTTTAGGACTCACACGTTGCCTGGAATAATATGGTGTTACCTAACCCATGTCCAAAACAGATTCAAATGTGGTTCATGGCTTGACCACCATCTTACAAAGTGAGTTTACCAACGCTTATTGAAAAACTAGGCCCTCTACCTCACCCAGGATGACCTGACTTTCTCTTATGGCCACACCCCTCATAAATTATGTAGACCACCCCAAACTTCATTGTCCTGATTTTCAAAGATGTGACTGAGCATTCCTAACTCCAACTGCAGTCAGTGGGAACTGCAAGTGCTCAATGCTTCTGAAAAACAAGTGCCACAGCAATAAAACCTCTGTCCCATCCCATGCTATCAGCCCCTAATCCTGCCACCTACTAGACTGAAAGAAAACCATTTCTGGAAATATGAAACCATTTTTTGGTCTTATATCTCTTATTTCCAGCTGAAAGGTCAGGCTCCTTCAGTAACATGAGGTCAACTCTCCAGGCCTTTGAGGAAGAGAGAAATACATTTTAGTAATCAGCAATTTACCTAAGGCCCCATTTCAGCAATGCACATAAGCACTTAAGATCCAATGAAGTCAATTGTCTTAAGTATGCGACTAAAGCTAAGGATGTTCTTAAGGGCTTTGCTGAACTGAGGCCTAAAGTAGCCTTGCCATATATAGTACTGTTGTGATTTGGAGCTCTGATATTTTGGGAGTCACCTGTGTGTAGCCTAATCTATAGCTTATGTATTAATTATAGTGATTACTTAAGAATTCCTAGTTATTACTTTGAGGGTTGACAGGTCCTTGTCCCAAGATCAGGCCCAGTATTATTAAAATGACGATATAGTTGGGAACCCGGATGTGCACAGTTGCAACACTCACACTATAGGAACTCTTCTATATTTACAAGTAGTTTATTAATCCATTTAGCAAAGTCACAAACCCTCTAACTCAGTAAGGTAGATAGCAATACTACAGAATGTATATTTGAACATCCATATACTCACACCATCCCTTGTAGAACAACCTGAAATGTTACCCATTGTCTTCCTCATCATCATCACCTTCCTCCTCATCGCCAGTGGCCATCATTCTGGCACCTCCCAAGGGCTACATCTCTCTCTCCCACTGCCCACAGGCTGGGATGTAACTTTTATAATATGTTATGCTGACACAATTATGTTGGCCTGCTAAACCCAGGGTTGTGAGTTCAATCCTTGAGGGGGCTATTTAGGGATCTGGGGCAAAAATCTGTCTGGGGCTTGGTCCTGCTTTGAGCAGGGGGTTGGACTAGATGACCTCCTGAGGTCCCTACCAACCCTGATATTCTATATTATCCAAAGGCTTCTGTAATGCATATTCAGTAGGGGTTTCTCCCCTCTTCCTTATTTGTATTTCTTCATTCTACTAATATTGCGGTGTCCTTCTTTTATATTAAGAATGTCAACTAATTATCATATACGTCAATTTGTTGCGCTGGCACTCTTGTGGTTGGATGTTCTTTCCAAAACTTTCCAAAAGCTGGTGTTAGCTCATGTTTTTGTGGTTGGCCGATGTCATTATGGACAAAATTCCCCGTTACACTCTGTTTCTAGTTCCCCAAAACGTAGGGGTTACCGTTGAGCTGTTTATCTATGCCAAAGTTCATAGGCCTCAAGCTTCATGCTAACTCCTGAAGCCAATGCCTTACAGGATACAGGCTTGTAGGTTACTGCTGAATATAATAAATGCAGAATATAATAAAGGCAAGGCAGTGAATATAATAAAGGCAAGCTAGCCCTATGGGCTACAGCGCTAGAAGTGAACAGTAGCCTTATGCCAGTGGAAAAAGACCTTGCAGGATCTCTAATGATACTCCAGTTTCTAGCCCAGATGCTTCACAAGGTATCAGACCTTAAAACAGTCACTGTTCCAGAGCTGAATATGGCCCATTCTACACGTTAAGGCAGTATAACTTCGGGGGGAAATTCTGCATTTTAAGGGAGAATTAAGAAAGCCTTTTTAGTGGCAGGTTGTTTTCTGTACTGTCAAATATTTGGGTTCCTTTTAAACGTAACCATAATGGTCTCTAATGGTTGGTATTTTTTTCAATAACTACCATGTTTTTGGATGTTTGTTTATTTTTTCTGTTATTCTGAAATTACTGGCATGAAATTCTGGCCCGAATGAAGTCAATGGCAAAACTCCCGTTTACTTCAATAAAGTATGGATTTCATCCAGATATTTCCTCTCAACTTTAACTCAGTCTTAAAGTTAACAAGATTTTCAAATTTAGGTGTTTAAAGTTGGGTGCCTAAATTCATTTATAGATACTGATGTGGCCTGATTTTCATAGGCGCTGATCAGTTAAAGTCAATTTTGTAAAGTGTGTGTGTCTGTGTGTCTGTGTGTGTGTACACAATAAATACGCACAGACACTGTCTGTGTCTTGCCTAATGGTCTGAGCACAGGCCTCATAGTCAGAAACCCTTGAGTTCTATTCCTGATTCTCTATGTGCTCTAAGTCACATAACCTGTCTGTTTCTCCATCCATAAAATGGATAATGGTATTTATCCTACCACACGTGGATATTGTCAGGTTTATAAATCACTTTGAATAGGAAAAGTGCTATGTGTTATTACTGTTGTTTTGTTAGGTATGATCATGAGGCATCCTGCTGTGAAATGGAGTGTGAAGCTGGAAATGGAGCGCTTCCATGTGATACTTCAGGGACATCTGTTGCATAAATTGACTCACTTTTTATGTGTATGACTTGGAGTTAGAAATCTACAATTAAGATCCTGCTGAAATGTAATAATGGGAGTTCTGCTCTGAGTTTCTTGAATCGACTTGGTCAGCAGAAGCCTGGAGCACTATACAGCTGGCACATTCAGATCTTGGAAAGAGATGAATGCTTTACGTTGCTCTCAAGTAAATGCACGGAGCCGATGCTTAGAAAAGCACGGTGGGTTTCTACAGCTTGCAGGTATGAGGGTCACCACAGTATCAGGACTGCCAGGCTGAATGGGTGAGGGAAGGAAATGAAGGTGACTCGGAGAAGCCCCTTCAATGTAGTTCTGAGGATCAGCTATTGCTGACTATGGGCCTGATAAAAGCCCATTGTGGTCAATGGAACTCTTAGGCTATACTTCAATAAACTTTGGATCAGGCCATAAATATCCTGTGATCGAGTGTCAGGGACCTCATATCATCCCATCCTTTATAAAACCCATTTCTGTCTCCTAACTGGTCCCTGGTACATCTTTGTGACCAAGATTATTTACCATGCTTTGCACCATAGAAGGGCAGCATTGGGCCCCTAGAGTCAGCATTTTCTACCCACTGAGCTCGCCTGCTCCATATGGGGAATTTGCCACTTGGTTCTTCCTCCCATCTCCTTCATGCCAGGCTCTGCTACCTTTAGAGCACTGGGAGCGTATATCCCTGCCCTGGAGACTTCCTCTCTGTTTCTCTGTGATTTGACACAATCTAGGTCAAACTGCTGTTTGAGATCCCAGAGGAAATGAATTATCTGACCTATACATGCACATGCATAACAAGGAGACTCCTTTGAATGTTGAGAACCTGCACGCAGGCCACGCAGAGGGCTTTGTGTGTGCGATTTCTTTTTCCCCTAAAGGGAAATAGCCTTTAAATAGAATATAGGGTGGGGTGGAAGGGGTTTGAATTCAAGTTCCCAACTGTCGGCTCAGCCCTACTCGTGATCTTCCTGTTAGTATTTTGTCTTCCTGGCATCCTTCCTCTTCTTTATATATTGTTTGCTGGGTGTTGCCTTCTGTATGTTATATTTGCACTGTAAAACACTTTGAAATTTGAAAGCACTATAAAAATGCTGTGTATTGTTGTTGAGTCTTATGGACCTGAATAAGAAATTGATGTGGTTTAGATATCTTCAAATGTAAATGACTGTGGGGGAGGGAACCTTTTTGTGGGCATCTTAGAAAAGAAACTGGGGATTGTCCCTCCTATAATCTTTAGGTCTTTACCCTCCTTGGGCAACAGTTTCTGCAAACTGGCAGGTGAAGCGCTCTGGTGTCATTCTGGCGATGTGAGATAATATTTATTATTATTGTTATTTGTATTATTGTAGCATGTAGGAGCCCAGTCATGGACCAGGACCCCATTGTGCTAGGTGCTGTACAAACACAGAATCCCTGCCCCCAAAAGTTTGTAATCTGAGATATTGCCTTATCCTCTAACATGCTGGTGGCTGGCGCTCCATTCCAGGTTACAAATGGCTAAGGTTCATTGTACAGTGAACATCTCTAAAACTACAAGGTCCTATGTGGAATGTGCTTTTTTTATAGCACCATAAACAGTGTAACAAAGAGGGAGCCCCTAAAAGGCTTATTATTATTACTCCGTGACTTCATTAGATACAATGACTAAACTGTTTAATGTTTGATTCTCCCATGGCTTACCTAATTAGAATTGTCCTACAGCTTTCAGGAATGTGTTTAGAAAGCTGCAGAAGGTGAGTACCTGTTCTGATAGCAGATTTCAGAGTAGCAGCCGTGTTAGTCTGTATCAGCAAAAAGAACAAGGCGTACTTGTGGTACCTTAGAGGCTAACAAATTTATTTGGGCATAAGCTTTCATGGGCTAAAACCTACTTCATCAGATGCATGCAGTGGAAAATACAGTAGGAAGATATATATATATATATACAGAGAACATAGAAAAAATGGGTGTTGCCATACCAACTCTAACAAGACTAATCAATTAAGGTGGGCTATTATCATCAGGAGAAAAAAACTTTTGTAGAGATAATCAGGATGGCGCATTTCAAACAGTTGACAAGAAGGTGTGAGTAACAGTAGGGGAAAAATGAGCATTGGGAAA